AAGCAAACAAAAGCTAAAACAAAACAAAAAGGCACCTCATCTCACACTGCAGCCTGACACCCCAACTTGCTGCACCTAGAATCAGCTCAGGCCTAGTTAGTACCCCTCACCCCACAGTACTGAAAGCACTCCATCCTCTTCTTTATCAGATGCACCTCTTCTTTATCAGAAAAAGGTGCATCATTTTTGTTAGACACGTGTCTTTTTGTAAAAAATGTCAAACAACACAAAGTGTGCATGGAGAAAAGAGGCCCAGCATGCCTCCAGTGTGGAGCAGTGATGGTGCCTTCTGACCTCGGAACATCCCCTGGACTGTGTTTCTCTGCAGGCCCCTCAGAAGACACCCCCGCTGCCTGCTATTACTGAACACCTGAGTAGCCCCTGGTACCAAAACCTCCCTGTCTGGCCCCCACAGCCACTTACTTGCACCCCAAACTGTTTCACTTAGGATACATGGTCCTTTCCTCTTTGATTTTCTATATTGACATCAAAAATAGTGACAGAGCATCACAGAGTCCGGGACACATCCAAAAGAACAAGAACAACCAGTGGTGGCGTAGATGTGGGGAGAAAGGGACTCATTCATTGTTGGTGGGAATGCTGATTGATCCAGCCTTTTTGGAAAACAATATGGGCATTTCTCAAAAAACTAGAATTGAGTTTCCATATGACCCAGCAATAGCACCTCTAGGAATATACCCTGGGGTCCCAAAAACCCACAGCAGAAATACCATCCTGGAGCACGCGGCCACATTTGCTGCACAACCTCTTATATTCTAGGCTACTGATGTACCTAAAATAACACACTTACGTTTGGTTTTAATATACTTGCTTGTTTTCTTGTATATGCAGGCTTAAATGGCCCCAGAATGAAATACAACAACCTTCACACACTTCGCTCTTATTGTGGTGGGAAAATGCTCGCTGTTTGGGTGGGTGTTTGAATATTATCTGTAATGAACTACTGTGAACGACTTTATGAAAATAAAATGTATAAGAATCGTAAAAAAATAAAAACAATGGGTGCTGATATGCGGCAGGTGGTGCGTGTTGGTCCCTACCCAAGGAGCACAGATTTGCATTCATGAGCCCAGGCCACAGCAACAGGGAGTGAGGAAAGGGGGTTGGGGAGACTGCCAGCCTTAAGAGATAGCAATCTGGGGCCAGAATGATAGTACAATGGGGAGAGCATTTGCCTTGCAAATATGAGTTTGATCCCCAGCATCCCATATAGTCTCCTGAGCACCATCAGTAGTAATTCTTGAGTGCAGAGTCAAGAGTAACCCCTGAACATAAACTGGAATAACTAAAAAGCTAAAAAGTAAAAAGAAATGCCAAACTGTGCGGGTGAAAAGGGTCTGTTGGCCATTCCCTTGGAGTCTTTTTCACTGGAGAAGAAGGGGACTGTCTGCTAGGGGTCAGTCACTGAGTGCCTTAGAGTGTGCATATGGAGAGGAGCAGGGTAGAGGGATGGGAAGGTTCTGGATGCAAGACACAAAATCTGCACCAAAGTCAGGGCATCCCTGGATTGATGGACCAGAGGATGGACCAGACACAGATGCAAGAAGGCAGATGTAGGTGAGAGAGAGGAGGGAGTGGGGTGGGCGCATAGGATGAAGCAGAGACAGACTCTCTGGAGTTGAGTCATAGACAGAGAGATTCCCCAGTGTCTAGCACAAACCTGACCTGGGGGTTAAGGCTTCCGAGGCAGCTGGGCACAGTCAGGGGCCCGCTCTGCACCTGGCCAGCTCAGGAGCTGTGACTGGAGGCGCAGAGGGAGACAGAGCAGGACATGGTGCCTCCAGAGCTCCCCCTGTAGGCTGGGTCCTTTCTTTTGGAGAGTAGGACACAGGGCACTGTTGGAAGGCAGGACAAAATGAGCCTCAATTCAGCCCACGTACACAGGCTGCTTGTACAGTGATGCACGTTACAACCAATATCATTTCAATACCAAAGAAATCCTGTGCCACCTGAGGGAGGTAGCTCGGCCATACAGCATCTGCCTTGCAGGCTCCAGACTGCAGGTTGGATCTCCTGCAGCAATACCCACCTCCCCCAGGCCAAGTGTCATCCCAGAGGCACTGCTGTGTGGTATCTTCACACTCAGCCACCAAGGGTGTGCAATGCGAGACATGGCAACAATGACGAGGAGGAGGAAGAGGGAACACAGTCAAATAAATGGATAAGGGAAAAGTAGCCCAGAGACCCATCCATGAGACTGAAGGCATTTATTTTTCTTGGCTTCTGTGTGACTAAGGGTGGAAGATCATTCAAGCTGCCAAGCACAGACCTGGCCTGAGGTGCACATTCTCTGCTCTCTGCAACTCCCCAGGCACTGGCGGGGTGTACACTGAACAGTTGGTTAGTCCAGCACTGGCTGCTGGGATAAGCATCACATGGAGTGGCCCTGACCCCACACCCCTACCCCAAGCTCCACCCAGCCTGATTGGAACAGGGAGTGAGAGCAACAAAGGCCTGGAAACTTGAGAGTTGACATGTGCATGGTGCGGACTCAAAGACCTAAGGAGACCAAAGGCTACAGTGGAGGCAGTCAGGACTTCCAGGGATTTGGCCCACAAGTGTGAAGGGTGGGAGTGAGAGGCCCAGTGTCCTGGGAAGTGGTGGGAGGCGCTAAGCACGGGGGAGAGTGACAGCAGAAAACTAGTGGCTCAGCTCCCCTCTCCAGCAAAGTGACCCCCACTCCCTGCTGGCAGAAGACTGGAGGATGTTTTTTAGTGAAGGCCTCTGGTTTGCATATACCACCCACAGCTGAGAACAGGAGACCCCACCCAGGAAACCAAGAGATGGAGGGAAAGATTTGATGCTGAACATTCAGACCACTGCCCCCTTCCCACATCAGAATGATGGCAGTCTGGTGAGTGTCCCCAATGCCACAGAATGGAGGACCTTCTGTGGGCCGTGTCACCACCCTGGGAGAGGAGTGTCCCCAACAGCACTGCTGCTTTGTGGACAACACGAGTACTTACAAACAGCTTCCTAAGTGAACATGAATGGGTTGGCCATCAGACCCCTGAGGACTTCTTTAAAATGAATGACAAGGGACAAAATAAACAATATAAAGTCCATCTTGTGGTTGTGGGAAAATTCTAAATAGAGTTGGTGGGAAGGTGTAATGGTGGTGGGATTGATGTTGGAATATTAAATGTAGTAAGTTATTGTGAACAACATTATAAAAATAAATAAAATTTTTTAAAAAGTAAAAGAAAACTCTGGCGTTGGGTGTTGGAACACTGTATGACTGAAACCCAACAATGAACAGCTTTTTGATTCTAGACCTCATAGTGATTCAACAAAAATAAATAAGTAAATAAATTAATCAATAAACAAACAAAAAGTTCATCTTGGAGGAAAGAGGCCATGCAAGGAAAGTAAAACTTGAAGCATTCACAGTTGACACAGTAAAAATTGATGCAGTTTCTGTGAAACAAACATAGGATGTTACAAAGCAATCACAGCATGCAAAGAGTAACTAGAATTTAAAAATATGAGAGCAGGAATGAAAAACTTAGTAGTAAGGATGGAAGATGCTGCTGAAAGACCCTTGCAGAAAGAACAACTTAAAAAATATATACAAGGTTGGAGGCTGGAGCGATAGCAGAGCAGTAGGGCATTTGCCTTGTGCACAGCCGACCCAGCCAAGCCGGGTTAGATTTCTCTGCCCCTCTCAGAGAGCCTGGCAAGCTACCGAGAGTATCTTATCCGCATAGCAAAGCCTGGCAAGCTACCTGTGACATATTCATATGCCAAACATAGAAACAACAAGTTTGTTACAATGGAGACATTACTGGGCCCCCTTGAGCACATCGATGAACAACAGGAGAACAGTGCTATAGTGCTATACAAAGTTGGAGGGATAGTACAGCAAGCAGGGCACTTGCCTTGCATGCAGCTGACCTGGGTTCAATACCCAGCACCTTATATGGCCCCCTGAGCACCACCAAGAGTTACCCCTGAGTGCAGAGCCAGGAGTAAGCCCTGAGCACAGCCAGGTAGTAGTGCTCAAAAAAAAAAAAAAACAAAAATAAATAAATACATAAATTTTTAAAATTTAAACTATGTGTATTCTAAGAGATTCAATGAGATATATCAGTTTCTACATCATATTGCTGAGTAAATAAAGACAATTATAACACTCCAATACACAGGACTTAGCACTTGGGGTTCAGGCACTGGGGGCTGGCCCTGCTCCATAGGCTTGTCATCCTTTTCCTAGAACCAGTTGGATAACCTGGGCATGTTCCTCTGGGGTGGGGGGAGGGTGACTGCAATGACCATCTCCTTGGTCTAGGAAAAACCAAGTGTCAGAATCAAAGCAGTAGGAGGGAAGCACAAAGTCACATGGCAACAAATATGAAGCAGAGTCTGTATCTGCAAGTGACCACAAAAGCCGGAGGATGGGGGGGAGACAGAAAATATAAGAAGGAAAAGTTATAAAATCTATCGTTGTAATATATTTCCTAAAATTAAAGCACCTGGGTTTCTAGTGAACTAGTCCTCTAAATGCCTGTAAATATCAAAACAAAATACTAAAAGTCATACTAAATATCAATTATGGCACACTGTAAACAACCAATAGTTAATGAAAATCTCCAAAGGGAAAATAACAGATTTCTTCCAGAGAGAGAGAGAGAGAGAAACAAAATGGTATCTAAAGTTTCTACAGCTGCTTCAGAAGATAGAACACAATAAACAAAGCCGTCAAAACTCTTTTTTTTTTTTAGGGCTTGAGTACCATTTTTAATTTATTTGGGGTTTCTCCCTGGTGGTGCTTGGAAGGCCCAAGGAGGGAACCTGGGGCCATGAACATGCTGGGCTTGCTCTCTAGCCCTTTGAGTTATCTCCTTCAGCCCAGGGCTAACTTAAAAATTAAGTTTTTAGAGGAGGAGAGAGCAGAGGAAAGTAGCTGGTATTTAAGAAAACTTCAGAGACTATAATGGAAATGTCTTTATCAGTTTGAGGTAATTAAAAAATATCAGACTTTATTGACCATAAAATTTGCCTGACAAAAATTGCACATAAATATGGTAGCTTTGTAGAACGAGGCAGAAGCCAGGGAGCAAGAGCATGGTGTGCACAGACGGTGCTAACCCAGGAGTCCTGGAGGCTGTGAGGTGGTCATCCATCACCTGGCCATCACAACCAGGTAGAAATGCCTGTGAAAAGCAGCGAAGCTGGCCATGCCAGCACTTACACATGGAACACTTCCCGGGCAGCCAGGAGCCATGGCGCAGGGAACCGCAGTTCTCTTTGCACACATCATGCTCACAATTGCGTCCATAGAAGGAGGGGGGGCAGGCACAGAACGACCCCAGCATGCAGGTTCCCCCATTCAGACAGCAGATTCTGTTGAGCTCCTTACTGTCCAGGATTCCGGGGGAAGACACAAACTGCAAAGACTGAAGGCAAACTGCAGGCTCCTCGCGGGGTCCAATGTTGTCACTTCTGCTGGCCAGACCAGCAACTAATTCCAATGCTCTGGAAATGACCATGATCCAAATCACACCAGGGCAGAAGGAAGCCGCAGAGTTCAAGGCCATTTCCACTTCAGCTTCTGCCTGTGGGAATGTTCTGGCCCCAGGTGTCGGGAAACACCAGCCATCGTTTGCTTCTACACCTCGGTCATTGTTCTTGGAAGTTGCAGCGGCCCAAAGACAGCCGCAGGCCAGCTCAGGGACAACCTCCAACTCTGGAGTGTGGGAACCTCTAGCCCAGCCGGCTCCAGCAAACAAACCAAAGCCGTCAAAACTCCTAAGCAGAATTACTTCCAAATAAAAATTCTATACCCAGCCAAACTATCAAATAAAGTATTAAGGGGAAAGCATTTGGACATGTCTGGGGACACCTCACCCATCCACACAGCCAGGAAGCCCATTATTCCCTTTGACAAAAAGTCATGGCATGTGCACTCCATCCAGTGAGAGAGGAATCCAAGGAGGAGGAAGACCTAGAGCACTGGGCACAGCAAACCCCACTTGGTAGAGATTAGACCTTGAGCCCTGGTGAAGGAACAGTGGATATTCTGGGAAGGCCCCAGGCAAAGAGGACAACATGCATACCAGGTCCACCTGGCTGGTCTGAAGGACCACCTGAAGGATCCAGAAAGGCTTCCTCAGGGAGAGAGAGAGAGACAGAGACAGAGACAGAGAGGCAGAGAGAGACGGGGGAGGGGGGTGTTGTGCAGAAAAAAGACTGATTAATGTGCAAAAAAATTGGGGCAACAAGTCTTTTTTTGTCTTAACAAATTTAATAGTAGAAAAGACAAAAAGTCGTATAGTCAAAAGGTGAGAGTCATAATTTCACATGACATATAACAGGGCCAAATGATGTCAACCCTGAGTGCTGAGTTAACAAAACACACCAGCTACCTCTCTCGGGAGCAGAAGGGAACATTTAAAGAGCAAGTGTGTACAAGAGGGGGAAAAAAGATAGAAGGGAGCTGGGGGCTCACCTTCCACAGTGGGAAGTCAACAGAGAATGGTTAAGGCTGGAAATTTTTTAAGTAGCAAAATAAACATGCTCAGTAAAGTTATAAAAGTAGATAAAAAAAATCAGCTACAAAGGTTGATGTTGATTGTCACTGAAAAGTGAAGACAGGCATGGGTATGTGCATAGGTAGAAGGAGACTTCTTTTTCAAGTGCTATATAAATATTTAACTCTTTATGTTCATGTCTAACTCCAGCAATAAGTGAAAACTAAATATAAAAAGCAAACACAAAATCCACCCCACACCCCAAAGAAAGGCAGAGAAAGCAGTGCGCTAGCCACTCAGAAAACAGCAGACAAGAAACCACTCTGGGCCAGGCAGAGGGACAAGTCACAGACAAAGACGCAGATCCCAGGCAGTGGGGCCCAGAAGAAAGGGGCTGAATTCTCAGCGGCCAGACTGGCTCGATTGGCAGGGGCTTCTGAAAAGCAGGTGATCAATAATTCCTTGCATAGAGTTAATGTTCTCCAGAACTGGGGTGAGGGGCCTCCCGAGCAATGTTCAGGGCACTCAGGGGCTACCCCACAGTTCAATGCTGGGACCCACCCACCAGTGGCTCACTGCTCTGCCCCACACTGCTCATAGGCCTCCAGAGGACAGCCAGTGATCTGGGGGGAATCATGTGCTAATCCGGCTAGAACTGGGGGCTGCACCCATGTAAGGCATCTATTCCAGTCCTCTGAGCTATCTTCCCAGTCCTTCCGATTATTTTTTTAATTGTCTTGGTTAGAGTTTCAAAATAGTATTTGCAACATTGTTTGAAAACAAATAAATAAAGTGGAAACATCCCAATGTTCGGTCCAGCAGGGACTTAAATTGTAGGTTATTCATACAAAAAACACTAAGCAGATGTCTTTCAGGAGGGGGGGAATGTGTGTGTGTGTGTGTGTGTGTGTGTGTGTGCCCACGCGCTGGAGCAAGGGGATGGGGGGGAAGTGAGGAGAAATGATGTGAAAAGAGAATGCCCACGACAACATTTAACCAAACGAATGCAGAACAATTTGTGTCTTTTGAGTCACTCTGTGTAAATAGCAAATAGAGACACGTAGAGATACACACACACACACACACACACACGCACGTGTGCGCGTGTGCGCGTGCACATACACACATTCTTGAGCTGATACTAACAGTAGCTGGGAGAGAGGAGCAGCCGCCTGTGGCTCTGAGACTGTATCTGGGAGCTAGCCCAAAGGAGCCGCCGTGTCCTGAACGCCATTCATTTGTTCTTCCAATATTTACTGACACCTCAATCTGGTGTGCACTGCTCTGTTTGGACATTTCACAGTATCAGCAGGAAAACATAAATATTTAGAAATTTTTAAAAAATCAACACTCAAGTACTTATTCCCAACTTACTTGCTTTCCTTTTTAGAAATAAAATGTCACCCCAAGGACACAGAGAGGATGTGTGTCCAGCCAAGCCAGGCCAGAGGAGGACCCGCCTCTGCTTCCGGAACCCAGAACCTGAGCAGCCGTGGTGGGGAGCAGGACCCCAACTCTCCCTGCAGTCCTGGAGCCCATGGCAGGGAGGAAGCCTGGCAGTTCCTGAGGCAGTGGCAGGGGCACTGCTAACCTGCACCTGAACAGCTGGGAACCAGCACCACTGGGATTCTATTCCAGAGCTTTGGCTCTGGGCAAATTGTCCCAAGACATAGAGACACTGGCTCCTGCCTTGGGAGGGTGACGCTGGGTCACCAGCAGCTCAGAAAGAGAAGAGACATCTGCTTCTGCCTTCAAGAGAAGTGTTCAGTGGCAACAAAGAGAGAAGCACAACAGCAAAACAACCATATATGGAAAGGGCCCCTGCTTGCCAGCACCCAGCCACCTGCCCCAGCCCAGCCACCGGGGCCCTGCACCCCATGGCCTCTGGTTCTCAGGAGACAGGATGCAATCCCGAGAACAGCTCAGGGAAACATGCCACCGCCATCACCTCACCTCACTTCACTTTGTCGCCAGGTTCTTGGAAATGGCAGCTTTCAGCAAAATGACACATAACCAAATCAAATTTACCACTATAGGCTAACAGATATAAACAAAGGTTAAGTTCCTGTGGCATATTTTTCAAATCAACAAAGAAAAATCACCATGAGGTCAGAGATGTAGCTCAGTAGTTCATTGGATAAAGATCTGCCTCACACACACAAGTCCCTGGTTTTGGTCCTGAATGCTGAAGAGAGAGAGGAAGGAAGGAAGGAAGGAAGGGAGGGAGGGAGGGAGGGAGGGAGGGAGGGAGGGAGGGAGGGAGGGAGGGAGAAAGAAAGAAAGAAAGAAAGAAAGAAAGAAAGAAAGAAAGAAAGAAAGAAAGAGAGAGATAAATAGGGAAAGAGGGATGGAAGGAGGGAGGGAGGGAGGAAGGAAGAAGGAAGGAAGGAAGGAAGGAAGGAAGGAAGGAAGGAAGGAAGGGAGAGAGGGAGAGAGGAAGGCAGAAAGGGAGAAAGGGAGAGAGGAAGGGAGAAAGGGAGAGAGGAAGGGAGAAAGAAAGAAAGAAAGAAAGAAAGAAAGAAAGAAAGAAAGAAAGAAAGAAAGAAAGAAAGAAAAAGGTAGGTCTCCACACTTCTGCAGAAAGACCCCAGCCACTTCTAATATCAGATGTTGGCATTCCAGCCCTCATTTTCCAGCCCAGGGGTGTGGATAGCTGGAGCTGCTCCCCACATCTGAGGGGAAAATTTACCCAGCTCACCCCAATTATCCACATTGGAACCAGAGATATCATAGCACTTCACATGCACATCTTTAGAGTGTGATGTTCTAAATGAGGAAAGCCAAGAACCTGGAGCAAATCCACACAGACATGAGGAGCAGGGAAAGAAACAATGATGAAAGGGCCGAACCCTAGGGTAGCAATAGTACTTGTCTTGCACATGGCCAACCCAGGTTTGATCTCTGTCACTTCCAGGAATAATTCCTGAATGCAGAGCCAGGAGAAACACCAGAGCATCACCCAGTGTGTCCAAACAACAACAACAACAACAAAAGTCATGGGGAGCAGGGGCATTTCTCACTGACATTCCAACAAAATTAAGACTGTGTTCAAAGATCTGCTGGATACCTCCATGAAATTTGAACGTTATTTTCTTTCATCTCCCCTTTGGAACAATAGTGTAATTAAGCTGTCTCTGGTCAGAAATCTGTTATTTCTTTATTGGAAGATTTTTTTAAAAACTGTCCAATATATATTGGCTTAAAATCTGGAAACAACCCCAGTGCCCGAGAACAGGCAACTGGTTAAAGAAACTTTGGTACATCTACACAACGGAATACTATGCAGCTGTTAGAAGAGATAAAGTCATGAAATTTGATTACAAGTGCGTAGACATGAAGAGTATCCTGCTAAATGAAATAAGTCGAAAGAGAGGGACAGATGTAGAAGGACTACACTCATTTGTGGAGTACAAAATAACATAACATGAGACTGACACCCAAGGACAATAGACACAAGGTCCAGGAAGATTGCTCCATAGTTGGAGGCCTGCCTTATGAGCTGGGGGAGAAGGCAGCTGGAATAGAGAAGGGATCACTAAGAAAATGATGGTTGGAGGAATCGGTCAGGACAGGAGATGTGTGCTGAAAGTAGATAAAAGACCAAACATGATAACCTCTCAGTATCTGTATTGCAAACCATAATGCCCAAAAGTAGAGAGAGAGCATGGGGGAAATTGCCTGACATGAAGGCAGGGGGAGAGTGGGAAAGGGGGGAGGTATACTGGGGAGATTGGTGATGGGGAATGTGCACTGGTGGAGGGATTGATGTTTGATCATTGTATGATTGTAACTCAAACATGAAAGCTTGTAACTGTATCTCACATATATATATTGGCTTGTAAAATGATGTGATTGTAGAAACTGAAGACAAAGTATATGGGTTAAGGTGCTTGTCTTGCATGAGGCTGATCTGGAGTCAATCCCTGGCACTGCATATGGGCCCTGAGCACTGTCAGGAGGGTGTGCAGAGCCTGTGAGTGCAGAGCCAGAGGTAAAGTATGAGTAACATTGGGTGTGGCCTAACCCCCTCCTCCGATACACTATTGTACATGACAATTCCCACGGTGTGGCTAAATTACTGGCAAAGCCCACCTCAGTGTCTGAGCATA